ATGTTCTTAAAATTGTTTTGAACAAAAGTGCAAGGTCGAGGAACAAATTTCAAACAATATAAAACTGAATCAACTGACAAAAGCCAAATACAACTCACAGTTTTTGCTATTGCCTTCGACTCTTCGCATAAAGAAGCCAAAAATCTTTAAAGAAATATCTGTAAGTGAATTTAAGTGAATGAGAAACTCAGCACAATGTGAAAATGAAAAGTTTGATATAGATTTGCAGCAATGAATGGATGAGCAAACTCCAAATAAAAACAACAACAAACTTTATTGCAAAAGCTTAGTGGAATTCACAAGTTAGATAAAGCTTCAAAAGTTTACAAAGGCCTAGCAACAGCTGACGTAGAGGTAAGAAATTTCAAGAAAATCCGGTTTTCTCCGGTTAAATTAAAGGTTATCCTACGGATAGTTAAACGCGGTACTAAACGGGCTTCTTACAACGCAATTTTATCGGCCGTTTAACTATCCGCTGGATAAGAAATTTATACGCTGGATAGCGGCTAAACACCGTTTATAAAGTTAAATGCCTTTGATACAACCGGCCCCACGTGGTAAATAATGCCTCAGATTTACTAGTCAACTAGCCAATCAGAACGCGCGAAAGCTCATTTAATATGCAAAATTTATACTAATGTTAATTATAGAATAAGGGATGATTTGCACGATGACGCCCTTGCATTTTGGTGCATTTTAATCAATAAACCCAAAATAACACCTATAGCATAAACCCCCTATAACACTCCTTGTTAGGGTTTTGAAAATTTCCAAATAATTTTGGAGAAAATCAAATTCATTAAATATGGGCGTACGGGAAGGAAAAAATTAGGGGGACGGAAAGAAATTTGCCCGACTTTTTCGGATTGTGCCCGAGTTGTCAAAAAAACTTTTCCGGAGAAACTTTCCAAAATTGTTGTCGGCGGGGGGGGGGATGAGGAGTGATTACGAAAAATTCCTATTAGATAGCATATTTCCCACAAAATTGACCGGATTTCCCACAAAATTGACAGAATTTGTCCCATTTATTTTTATAATAAGCCAATATTGCCAGACTGTGAAGCGAATGTTGCCCGACTGGCTGCCGCCGCCCCCCGCACCCCTGCCCGGTACGCCCATGTCTTTAAAGATGATGCAGCTAATATTTAATCCAAGCTTGAAAATGTCAATTATGACAATATCTCATACTCTGCAAGCGAATTTGAAATGAGCGAGACAGTCATACTTGAATTTTTTAAAATAGTTGAGAAACGTACACTCTAAATGTAAAGATAGTGGCTTCGATAATATTCCATTCGACAGTTCTCCTTTTGAAATTAAGCGTACCAACGACAACTGAGTCGCTAACTTATATTACCAACTTGGCTATTCGTAAAAGCACTATACTAAATGATTTGAAATTAAAATTGCAAGGGGTAACTCCTGTAGATAAAGAGGGTTGCAAAATGAATCTCAACAACTATAGACCAATATCTGACTTATCTGTTGTTGCTAAAATTTTTGAGGATCGAAGTAATATTCAACCAAAAGTATATACTTAACTAAGCACAACCTTCTATTCAATTCACAATCTGGTTTTCGGCCTTTATACGTCACTCTATATTAATTGCATTACTTGATGCTACAGTCCAATGGTATACTAATATAGACATGGATTGATTAATTAATGGAATCCTCTTCCTTGACCTTAAGGTGGCCGGCTCCCTACAGTAAATATAGTACAGTTAAATTAAAACATTTATATAAATCAGACGTCATCCTCGTGAGTCGCGCGTGGAATCTTCGTGGCACGGTAAAAATTTTGAAACAATCGCGGGAAGTTGTTTTTGAACAAACGAGAAAACGCCAGTTTTTTATTAGAATCCTACGTTCAGTAGTCTATTGTATTTTATAATGCTCACAATTTTCAACAACATGCAGTGTCGCGACATGAAATGATATTTTATACTGTCTTCAAGGCACTCCTGAACTGCCACAGAAACTTGTCCTGTCAGTCAACTCAATTCGCATGTAGTTTTTTATCTCCTGAATCTAATAAAACTATAGAACCATAAAACATTTCTAAAATTAGAAAATTATTAGGAAAATTAAAATTAGAAAAATATTTCTAAAATTCATGAATAATTCATGAGCTAATTAGCCAATGAATTTCTTAAAATCTCGTCACATGATGACCCCTATATACCGTGATATAGGTCGGTGTGTGCTGATTTAAAATTCATATATAGACCACATGTACCTTTATGATAAAGGTACATGTACCTTTATAAAGCATTCTTTAACAAAATGTTTATTAATCTGTTCCTAATAAAAACTCAAATATTCGAGAAATCAATAAATACTTTATTTTCGAAAATTAAAATTAATGTTACAATTGTTAAACACGGGATTAACAACCCTTTCATTTTGATTACACACCACTTTAAACTATTTAAACCCAACAAACTTGCTCAACTAAAATTCTAAAGACGCTTCATTCATCTCCGCCAGCGATGTATAGTTAATGTCTGGATTGGGCCAATATCATCAGTTTCATGACCAGCGTCGTCTATCTTCACTTCTTTAACCTTCCAGCAGCTCTCCAGGAATCAAAAATCGTCAAAGCCCACTTTGTCACGTATCTTGTACTTGGCGGCATCGCTCTTTCGAGCTACGTTTGCCCCTCTTCAGCAGTTCGAGCGCTTCGAAACCGACTCATTAACAAAACAAGTCAAATATGTTCAAATTTCCATTTGAAAAATCCGTTTAACGACTTGTATGACTTGACAATTAATCTAGTCATTAATTTGCTTGCTGATCAATGAAGGGAAGAATCGTAAAACAATAGAACTATTGTAGTTAGCATTTCTTATTATTTCATTGGGACCCAAAACAAAAGGTGAATTTTAGAAGTCATTTATAAACCTCGTGATTGGGCTTTATCGGTGCCTATAGCCGCTCGCCTTCGGCTCGCGTCTATATGTACCGATAAAGCCCTCTCATTCGGTTTATAAATAGTACATATATATATATATATATATATATATATATATATATATATATATATATATATATATATATATATATATATATATATATATCGTGTTCAAAATGAAAAAAATGAAAAATAGAAAATTTTAAAAAATATTAATGTGCTGCTACTTAAGTTTCACGTATTACCGATCGTCAGACAGCAATAGATTATGGTGCACACGAGCTTTATATACTAGGCTACCGTGCTAATTACATAAGTTCAGTCTAAATAAAACCTATTGGGACCTATGCGAGTGTTCAACTAAACTGATTTAAAATTTAAAACTTAGTAAATTAATTCAAAACCTACTTAAAGTCTATACGTAGTTGTTAAAACCTCTCGAGCAAATAATTTATGTTATCTCGTTCTTATAATTTTGTATGTAAAATTTGTTTTCATGTCTACACTTGGAGATAAGTTCGTCTCGTGTGTTCAAGAGGCGTGCGTTTCGTCCTTCCAAGATGGCTAGCTTTTCACAGAGGCATAATCCGCATTTGTTGGATCCGTTGTTGTAAGCCTTTGCTGTGTCAATGCTTGACCAACAGATTTTGTGTTCTTTTCCTTCGTTCTTTAGACTCCACACATACTTTGACAGTGATGTTTTGTTGCTGTAATCGATGTTATTGAAAGAGCTCTTGTGTTGAGTAAAGCGTTTTTTGAATGTTCCCTCAGTTAGACCGATGTAATCTCTCCCTTGAGGGTCGTCATTCGTGGTTATATGGGCTTTATACACGACGTTTGTGACGAGACATTTGTTTTGAAGTGGACATTGTTCTTTTGTATTGCAATTGCAGTTCTCCTGCGTGTTCTTGTTTCGCGGGTTAAGTATCCTATTGTTGTGGGATTTAATTATGTTAGCCATGTTCTGGGTGCAGGAATAGCTCACTTTTATAGTGTTTTTATTAAAAATTTTGTGTAGGCGATGGTCTTTTGGGAAGTGTTTTTCAACCAAGGATAAAAATTTGTTTCCGATGTTGGTCTTAAGACATTTGTTAAAAGGCGGGTTATACTAGATAGTTTTCCGTTTTCGGTTCCTTCTGTTGGTGTTTGTGCTAGTTTCATAGGACATTCGGTGGTTGAACCCGCTAGCGTGTAACGCTTCTTCATAGCACGGTTTTGCATTGTTGAATGCTTCCTCGTTGTGGGATAGTTGGGAGATACGGCGGTTGACAGCCTCCGGTAGTTGCCGAATGATTGGAGGTGGGTGGTTTGAATGGGCATTTATATAAAGTGGGCGGTCGTTGGGCTTTATGTATGGGCAGAATGTATCTTTATCTAGGTTGAAAGTGATGTCGAGGAAATTCACGATCTTTAGGTTTGTTTTGATCTTTATCGACAGTCCTTCATCTTTGAATTGCTTCGTGATGTTTTTCTTAATTCTTTCGGCTTGTGGTCCCGAGATGTTTTCATATGCAGCCAGGCCATCGTCTCTATATAGCCCTATGTTTCCTTTAATCATGGTCTTCTCTGACAATTTGTTCAGCATGTACAGTCCAACAAGGTCACATATTTCGGCCCCATCGTATGATCCCATTGTAACGTCAAACAAATTGTCACTCGCTCTCTTAGTCCATGCAGTGTCACCGTCGAAGAGGAGGGATTTTCTAGCGTGCATTATAATGTTCATATCTTTTTGCGGTATGTCAATAAAATTCTTTGCAAACTCGATAGCTTTCTTTAGTAGGCTTTCAGTGATAGATGCATGGGTAGAAATTGTCAATGTCGAAAATTACAAATGTGTGGTTAGCTTTGCTTGGAATATTCTTGAACCATTCGATGACTGATGCCGAATTTCTCCATTGGTTTAAAACGGTTTGGCTTCGTATGCTGGTGTTTATTCTGTCCACAATAGATTTGCTTACGACACCGATGTCGCTCTTCGCGGGATTAGGGAGGCGGCAAGACGGCTTATTTTCAAAATTGTCCTTATGGTCTTTTAGGGTAACGAATACATACAAAATTATAAGAACGAGATAACATAAATTATTTGCTCGAGAAGTTTTAACAACTACGTATAGACTTTAAGTAGGTTTTGAATTAATTTACTGAGTTTTAAATTTTAAATCAGTTTAGTTGAACACTCGCATAGGTCCCAATAGGTTTTATTTAGACTGAACTTATGTAATTAGCACGGTAGCTTAGTATATAAAGCTCGTGTGCACCATAATCTATTGCTGTCTGACGATCGGTAATACGTGAAACTTAAGTAGCAGCACATTAAATTTTTTTAAATTTTTTATTTTTAATTTTTTTCATTTTGAACACCATATATATATATATATATATATATATATATATATATATATATATATATATATATATATATATATATATATATATACATATATATATATATATATATATATATGTTAATCACCGTAAGTAAGTATTTTTTAGTGAACAGGAAAAGTTGAGACTGAGTCGGATATATATATATATATATATATATATATAGCTTAAGATTTTGGTTTACGAAACACAAACAGTGCTCAATACCATATAGATAGAGCGTAATATAGTTTTTCGTTTTACCTCAAAGAACCACAACAGTCTGTTTCATCCGTATAGGAATCATCAGGTGGTGAATAATTTCGAAATTGTAGGTGGCTTTTATGCTATCGAAAGAATGTGCGGAATGCGTGTAGGGGAAACAATGCTTAGGTGAAACAATGCATGCTTGTGTCATTAGGTTTTGTTAACGACCTTGTTTACTCGAAACCGGTTTTTGTGACGACATTTGCCGAAAATTTCGCTTCTTTTATTGAGTAAATTGTCTTTGTTTATGTCTTTCAAAATGCAAAATTTTTCTTCCAAACATAAATTGCAGCGTTTTGATCCTCCTGTGTACGAAATAGCGTGTTTTAAAATTGACCATTTGATGGTATAATCCTGATTGTTTTCTTTTAATTTTCAAATATGTTTCGAAAGTTCCGTTTTGTTTGAGTCTTTTTTATGACGAAAAGATGAAGTGTGGTTAGCGTAACGTTCCTTAAATGTAGTCGCTGTATATATATATATATATATATATATATATATATATATATATAT